CTTTTGTTAATTCTTTACTCATTTTTATTGATTTCGGGGAATGAAATTTATTTTGAGTTAAAGTCAAAATAAACAAATAAAATGCGCATTTATTAAGTTTGATTTATGTAAACAAACTCTGGAACATCATGTGACCATAATATTATTAAGTTACGTGACATTACTAGCATGTAATCACGCTTAAAAAGTGGTGTTTAGAGACTTTTGGTGACCCTCTGTATATTGCCCAATACTGTAAATAATCATAAGCTGACTGTTTTTTTTATTACCTAGAATACATTTAAGCTTTTTGAGCTTTTCAATATTTTTTTCAATATCAAGATTGTTATCATTATCTTCATCAAAATTCAAATTAAAATCTATATCCAAATCATCAATATTTGTATTTCTATCTATATCATTAATATCTTCACTAGGATTTGTATTTAAAACAATAACATTCACATTGGAATCTATATCTGAAGTTTCTGATTTATCTTTATTTTTACTATCTGTACTTTCTTTATTTTCTGTGATTAAAAAATATTGTGTAATTGATTTAAAACCTTGTGCAGCTTTCGTATATATATTAAGGACTATATTTATGATATTTTGTAGCCTTTGATATTACAAGTTTACCTCCAGATCTTTTTTTTTTGTTTTTTTAATCAAACTAACTCAAGTTTTCCAAGATTATTTATTGTTTGTTGTAAATTATCTACAAAATTATCATCTGAATCACTTGAAAAAGTTTCATTTTCAGAAAAAATAAAATTTGAATGTTCAGAAGAAACAAAATCTGAGTATTCAAAAGAAACAACATCTGATTCAGAATCAGAAGCATTTAAAGCCTTTTTAAGTTGCCCAGTTTAACATTTTGAATACGTTTCTGCAGTCTTTTTTTTACTATTTTAATTTTTTTGTTAAAGGCATGTATAAGATGAAAATTAAGATAAAAATGTGTAATAATGACTTGATGAGTTCAAATTATATAATTTTAACGAAAAAAATCTCTTAATTTATGATATATTTGAAATAAGTATGATAAAATATGTGATTTGCAATACAAACAAATAATTTGTAATACTATTAAGAAAGGAAAGAAGCAATTATAAACATAAGCTCTTTCAGAATTTATTTAAGTTAATCATATTTAGGTTGTTATAAAATTTTTCAAAAATTCATCAAAATAATGAATTTCTTTATTAAAGTTATTATATTCAACTTCGTTAAATAATTACAAAAAAATCCCTCTACCGCTCAAAGAATATTAGGATGCAAGTATTTATGAAAAATATGAAAACTACCTTTTTTTATTTTATTAAAAAAAACTAATTTAATATGTAAAACAAATGTTGAATATCATATGTTTCTGTGATATGCATCATCAAAAATCGTCATCCCTGATATAAACTACTGAAGGCTATCGATTGATATAGAAATTGTATCATTATACAAATTTTTTATAGTCTCAAATTTGTCAATTTTATAGTAAAATCAGTACTACTTTAAATCGATATAACTTTTTAAATATTCAATTATATAAAAAATTAACCAATAATTAGAAAGCTTTAGTATTGTTTATTATTTCTATTGGATAACATTTTGAATTTAATTTTTATTTTTTAAGTTTTACAAATTTTTGTCACGTTAATTTGATTGTCAATTATAGAGGTTTCGCACTATATAGCCTTAGGGTTATATATTTCCTTTTACATATGTTTTTAGTATATGCTAACTTAAGTTTTATTAGGATCAATAGATTTTTGTATTTGAAAAAATTAATTAATTATATATTTATTTTATTTATTATTAATTTTAATAGAATTCTATATCTATTTTTGATCGATATGTAACTAAGAATCAAAATAAAGATTTTTATAAAGATTTATTTTTAAGTTGGTAAAATCGAATCAAAATACTTCCTAAAGATTTTAATAAAATTATTAAAATAATATATAATTTGAATGTAAATCATAAATTAGAATTAGCTGAAAAATATTTTTATAAATTTGTTACTTGCGAAAATTTTAAAAAAGAAAAAGACTTTATTATTATTAATGAAAATCAATCTATTAGTTAAAATGTGATGGTAAAATTGTTAAAGAAGTAATTCATAATATTGCAAAAAAAAATGTTGCAAATCATTTTGAATTTAAAATAAAACTTACCTGCAATGTAGATTCTAAAATTAATCGTAAACAAAAAATATATACTGATTCAGAAAAATTAATTGGTCATGGTCTTCATGCAAATTTTTTAGATTTATCAACCACTGATTTATATATATATAAAAATAAAATCTTGATCCAGAAATACAAAGAATATATGATAAAATGAAGATGGTTTTAGAGAATGGTTATATAAAAATGCTAAAGATCATGTATCATAGTCAGTATTATCATATAAAACATTTAAGCAAAAGTAAATTTAAATAATGAATAGAAAATAAATGCAATATTTTGTGCAGAAAATTATGAAGCTTTAGAATATCAGAATAAGAATAAATCAGAATTTTGCAATAGGATTGTTTTTGAAATTGGTGTAATTAAAGAAGGATATTTTATTTATTCTAAATATGGTATTGCTATTAAAATAATATCAAATTCGATATAGTATTAGTTAACATAAGCTGTACATGGTATAGCTAAACTTAATTTAAGTAAAGGTGATATTCAATACATTAGTGCAATTACTTTAATTGAAAAAATTGCTAAAGCAATAGAAAAAGAAGCAGGTATTATGAAAAATTAGATTTTTTAATTAATTTTATAAAAATTTTTATTTT